AAAAAAAAAGGGCAAAAAAAAAAAAAAATCTAACAATTAAATAAATAAAATAAATAAATAAAATTATTTATTTATTTATTTATTTATTTATTTATTTATTTATTTATAATTTTTTTCTTTTTTTATGCCTTTTTGGTGTAAGATTAACACCTAATATTTTTTGTATAATTTCTTGACATCTTATTGATGGTCTTTTCTCCTCATTCTCTATTTGACGAATAAATACAGCTAAAAAAAAAAAAAGAATAAATAAATAAATAAATAAATTAATTAATTAATTAATTAGTCTATTTATTTATTTATTTATTTATTTATTTATTTATTTATTTATTTTATTTAATTAGTTACATGTAAGACTTTTCTCCTCATTCTCTATTTCACGAATAAATACAGCTAATAAAAAAGAATAAATAAATAAATAAATAAATAGACTAATTAATTAATTAATTAATTAATTAATTAATTAATTAATTGTTTAATTAATAGGTCTTATTTTATCATTATCTATTTGACGAATAAATACAGCAAAAAGGAAAAAAAAAAAGACAATTAAATTACCAAGTACAAAAGGAATAAAAAAGAAGAAAAAAGAAAAAAGAGGCAAAATAAATATAAAATAAAAATAAAAAAAGGTAATAAAAGGGATAAAAAAGAATAAAAAAGAAAATAAAAGGAATAAAAGAGAAAAAAAAAAAAAAAAAGAATAAAAAAACCTAAACCCTAAACCCTAAACCCTAAACCCTAAACCCTAAACCCTAAACCCTAGGAATTACCTCCATTAGGTATATCTTTAGTTTCTTCTGGTGGAAGATTTGCCTTTAAAAAATTTCCGACGGTCGCTGCCCGTAAATGTTTAGACCACCTATACGTAAACCCTAAACCCTAAACCCTAAACCCTAGAGGGTAGATGATAGAGGATAAAGGGGAGAGGGTTTATGATGGATGGGGTTAGAGGGATGGAGAGAGAAAGAGCAAAAACCCTTGGTGGTGTTAGAGGGATGCAGATAAACCCTAAACCCTAAACCCTAGATGATGTTATAGAGGTGTACAGTGCTGTATACACAAACCCTAAACCCTAAACCCTTGATAGGATATTGTAGGCGCCTCCGTCTTGACCCCTCTTAGTGGTGTTAAGGGATTAGGGTTTAGGGTTTAGGGTTTAGGGTTTACCTAGGAAAGAAGAGTGCCTGTCCTAAGGAAGGAAAGAATTGGGATCTAAACCCTTTATTAACTCGCTGTTTTTCGTGTGAAGTGTTTAGGGTTTAGTGTTTAGGGTTTAGGGTTTAGGGTTTAGGGTTTACCTAGCAAAAAAGAGTGCCTGTCCTAAGGAAGGAAAGAATTGGGGTCTAAACCCTTTATTAACCCTTTCTTGTCCTCTTCCTCCTATTCGTAAATGTACAGTACTAAATACCCGCTGAGATATGCGGGACGTTAATGACCTTCTTGCCATCGAGGGTTTAGGGTTTAGGGTTTAGGGTTTAGGGTGTATAGGCAGGTGGGTCGGACGAGCGACAACTCGCCAACACCACCACCTTGAGGGGGGAAGAAGAAGGAAGAAAGAAAAAAGAAAATAATAAATTAAATTAAATTAAATTAAATTAATAAATAAATAAATAAAATTAAATAAATAAATAAATAAATATATATGATGAATTAATTGCTGCATGCATGCATGCAGCAGACACAGGAGCTGTCGATCATCAAAGAAGACTGCTACTAAACCCTAAACCCTAAACCCTAAACCCTAAACCCTTAAAAACCCTAAACCCTTAAAAACCCTAAACCCTAAACCCTAATCCTTAATTAAGGGTTAATGCTTTTAAGGTGGTGTGCGATGCGTCGAGGGTTTAGGGTTTATTAATTGTAGGGTTTAGGGTTTAGGGTTTATATTAGGGTTTAGGGATACAGCAGCAGCAGCAGCAAGAGAATAGAAGCAAAAGATATAAACCCTAATGATGTTGCTGCTGTTGCTGCTGCTGCTCCCTGCAGCAGCAGCTTAACTTTTTGTCTTGGTTTATGGGGTATTTCTTGCTGCTGCTGCTGCTGCTGCTGCTGCTGCTCTTCTTCTTCCTCTTCCTCCTGTTCTTCTGCAGCAGCAACAGTTACTGGTGCACCTGCTGCTGCTGCTGCAGCAGCATGCTGCTGCTGCTGCTGCTGCAGTTGCTGCTCCTGCTGCTGAATAAGGAGTTGCTGATGTTGATGTACCTGCTGAAGTAATGCTGCTTGCTGCTGCTGCTGCTGCTGCTGCTGATCTTCTTGCTGCTGCTTAATTCTTTCTGCATAAGCAATAGCTATTTGCTTCCTTTGCTGCTCCTGCAGCAGCTCAGGCTTCTCCTGCTGCTGCAGCACAGCAGCAACAGCCTCTAGCTGCTCATTTGCTGCTGCTGCATGCGCAGATAAATGTTCTCTTATACCCGCCTTTACGCCTATACGCTTAGGGCAAGATACCTGCAGCAGCAGCAACAGCAGCAGCAGCAGCAACAGCAGCAGCAGCAACAAC